GCAACCCGGTGCGGGTTCAAGCGGGCGGTGCCGCCTCCCGCCAGGCGGGCCGGGGAGCGGCGGGCCGGCTGCCGCTGCGGCGGAGGGGCCGGGCCGGCGGGGGCCGAGCGAGGGTCTGGGGGTGGTGGGAGGCCCCGTCAGCCCGCGCTGCGCCCCGGGGGACGGCCCCGGTGGTGGCGGTGATGGTGGTGATGGTGATGGCCCTGGTGATGCTCAAAGGAAGGGGGAGGACACACCTGGAGTGCTGTGTCCGGGTGTGGGCACCTCGATCCCCGAGGGAGATGGGGGTGCTGGAGGGGAGGGCAACGGAGGAGGTGAAGGGTCTGGAGAACAGTGGACGACGAGGAGCAATTGAAGGAGCTGGGACTGTTTAGATTGAGGAAGAGGAGGCTGAGGGGTGACCTCATCACTCTCTACAACTACTTGAGAAGACACTGTAGAGAGGTTGGTGCTGGTCCCTTCTCCCAGGTAATTAGTGATAGAACAAGAGGGAATGGCTTCAAGCTCCAACAGGGCGGGTTTAAACTGAACAGCTGGAAAGAGTTTTTCACAGCAAGAGTGGTCGGGCATTGGAATAGGCTGCCCAGGGAGGTGGTGGAGTCACCATCCTTGGATGTGTGTAAGAGTCGTTTAGATGTGGTGTTGGGGGATATGGTTTAGGGGAGGACTTTGTAGAGTAGGGTAGATGGTTGGACTTGATGATCCCAAGGGTCTTTTCCAACCTCAATGATTCTATTCTGTGCTCTGGCCTGGTGGGCAGCCAAGCCTCAGGAAGCCCCCCGGTTCCATTCCCACAGCTCCTCAGCCCTGCAGAACCCCGGTGTGGCGGCCAGCATCTTCTCCCTTGGCCTCTAATGGAGGCCCCAAGGGCACAGCAGTCTGACCCCCAGCAGACACACCACCAGCCCCAGGGCGTTTTCACCCATGTTTCTTAGATTTTTCAAGAATGCATGAATTCTTTGAGAACTTCATAAGAACCACTTTAGACTGAGGGTGTCAAAGGTCGCTGGCCAAAGAGGAGGGAGGGTGCGTAACTTGCCCCCATATACTGCTTCCTATAGCACTTCTATTTGGAGCATTTCCAGTCAAAACGCACTTTTTTGGTATCGGTGTAATGCCAAAGATGGGGGTTGTGCATGGTTTTCATTAGGGGTTGTTTTTTTGGTTGTTTTTTTCATTTTTAAAATCTCTGTCATCTAAGCAAAGCGCATGACTGCTGGAGGTCTGAGTCATGGTAGTTGAATGGTTGCACTGATAATATGATAACAGAAAAACACATTTATGTGCTTATGAAAAAATGCTTTGACCTACAGCCCCGTGTCCAGGGAGCCATTACTTGTTACTCTACCAGGCATCTCATGATAGCTGATGTTTTCATAAGATCTGCTCGAGTCAGATGATTACATGAAAGACTTCCAAGTTTTCATCCTACTTTGTTTTTTCAGATCACGCATTTTAAAGAAAAAATAATTTTTAATTTTCAACTATCTTTGAGTGTTCACTTGATGCAAACATACCCTACCGAGGTACAAAGAACAAGAAAGAAAAAGAATGGTGGTTTTTTTAAAATATTTTGAGGATGTTTTCTGTACCTAACTTTGTGACACTCCCCAAGCATGGATGGGTAGGGGTTTGTGAGTTACGTTGTCCCTTTGGGTTTGAGTAACTCTGGAGGAGTAAGAATAAGTTTAGTGTCTTTTGAGTATCAGTGTCTTCAGTAGCTTGCATCCAAACAAAAGGAAATATGTGCTGGTGCTCTGGTTTAGAAACGTTACCGTGTAGGATGTCCTGCTCCCTAGCACTTTCCACCACCACGTAGGTCGCTGCTTGCTGAGGGTACCTCGGCTCCTCTCTTCAGACCGGGCCTGGTTTAAATCTGATTAAATCTCAAATGGGCATAAGCAGTGATCAGCAAATTTCAAACACAAATTTGCAAGAATCAGGTCATCTTAGTATACATACAGTACAGTAATAAAATGTTAATGGAATGCTTCACTTACTGCATCTCACAGGAGGACCTCAACAGAGCTGGAGAGACCTCTGTGGAAGGATTATCTGCTTGCTGCCCACCATGGCTCCCACCCCTGCCTTGTTAAATCCTGCCTTCCTGCAGGAATCAGGGACACTTACCCGTTTATGGCATTTTTGACCTGTAGAGTCCCAGCATGACTACCCCTGGGCTGCCAGTGCCATTGTCTTTTAAGTAGAGGTTTGGGTAATGTCAATTGGGAAGCCATTGTGTCACCTTGCCTTACTGTACCAATCCCACTACATTTTTTAGGCATACAGCAAACATTTTATCACCCCTAATTACTTAGAAACTTTTTAACAGCTCTAAATCTCTTGCAGCAAATCCTCAGTCAAATCTTGCATTTTAGACATGTACCACAATTTTCATAAGCTTTGAAACAGAACAGGTAACGACATAACGATGGAGATGGGTTAATTGCAAAGTCTGCTTCTCTAAGTAGATACATGGAGCTTAAAAAGACATGTTTTCTTCATTAAGAAGGGATGATTTAAACTTTGGTCTATAGTTAATATTCTGAAAGCAAACATTTAAAATGTTTTTAAAATATAAAGCATAAGACTTGTGATCATCAGTTGTGATGGCGGAATCACTCTGTAACTACTTATTTTCCTACATGCAGTCATTTGTTCTGAATTTTTTATGGACCTTTATTTCTCCTCCTTTTACCCTAAGAGCTTGCTGAAGTACATTATAATGACAAAGGTGCTACAATACATATTTAAAGATCAAGTCAGAGAAAAGGAGTGCTGCTCTAGGGTAATGGTCTCCTGCTGGTATCTAAGAGCTGAGAAAAGTACATAGGTGAAATACATGTCAGGAAAGCGTATTTGGTTGTCAATTATGATTACTTTATTTCAGCTATACCAAGTGTATGATGCAAATTTAACTGTATTATTTGATAAATATTGGTACTGTAAAGCAAGAACAGTTCACTCTACCTTACTGACATGTTTAGATGCCATGTATGTCACAAGAAGATTTTTTGTGTCTTTCTTCAATTAGAGACTGTTCTATTCTTGAGGTTTAAGAGTATGTCTTTTAATGAGTTTGTCCTCCTCAGCAGCCTCATGCATCAGCTGAGGAGCACCATGAAGCTCCTTAACTAAGGCCAGGCCCTTCAAGATTGGTCAGCGCTGAGGTACCTGTGTTTACAAAGGTAAACACTGCGCAGTTATTTTTAAATATGTAGCATCTCCACTATACAGAAGACAATGAATTTTAATAGGTTCAATATTAATGATGTGATGTGACCCATTAATTTTTTGTGCTTGAAACCTTGCTGGAATATTGTCAAAAAATTTAAGTGTTTCAGACCAGCAGATGGAGGTCACTGATTTGCTTAGATAAGATTTTTATCTATTTTGAGTATATAAAAATGATAAATATTATTTAATCAGAAACTACATCCTGCTTGCAAACTGAACTATATGGGAAGCGCAGTTTAAAATAAAAATCCTTAGGATAAATGATGGGTGACAACCAGATCTTTTGATTCTGCTGGTCTTTCACGTAGTCTGAGAAATGTGTCCCACAATCCCTTCCCCACACCGCCACCTAATGCTTAGCAAGAGCCCTACGAGCAATTGGGGCATGCGTTTGCTTTAAAATGAGATATTGTCAATTTATCACAGAGCTAAACATTGTATGGAGTTTAAGCAAGAGCTTAAAATGGACATTCCTATGGGAAAAGTGATCTGGCCGGTCAACTGAGTCATACCCTAATCTCTGTTGATAGTAATAGCTAATTATTTTTTTTTTGCTATAATATGAAATTCCAAATCAGCTAAAACCCTAGTGATGAACACACCTGAGGAACGTTAGTTGTCATCCCTCTGATAATTCATTCTATTTGTTATTACTTACGTTTATTGTTACAAGCCTAAATACAGCAGCAGGAAAAGACTTTCTTCCTCAACTCGATTCTGACCCATCCCCCCCAGCACAGCCTTTCGCTGGGCTCCTCCAGAGAACGTGTTCATGGATCCTGTCTTAGATTCCCACCTGCGTGGATCTGGAGGGACTACTCCTGTGGCGGATTTCCCTTTCACTTAAGGAATTGATTCTTCCAGGATTAAGGCAGTTGTCTCTTTCCTGGAGGGAAAAATCCAGTGCTTGCCAAAAAACATCCTTTCAGCCTCATCGCAAGTTGCCTGAAGCCCTTTCTGTGCCTGCCCCAACCGCGGTGCTGTCATCAGAGATATCTGGGAGTTTCTGTGGTACTTAGCAGAGAGCTGCAGCTCCCGTTCACAGGAAAGACATGGAGACCTAACAAGAATTCTGTAAGCGACAGCAGTTACTGCTCAGTGTCACCATTTGGTGTTTTTAAGCCCAGTATCAGCAAAGTTAGCCTTTTGGTTGAATCCGAGAGAAACATGTAAGGAGTAAATCGAGATTTCATTTGAAGATAAAGGGAGAGATTTGAGCTACCTAGTTTGTATATTTAACTTCAGTGCAGAAATTAGGATATAAATCTCATGCTAGCCAATGAAGAGATACTATTCTCGGCAATAATTCAGAGCATAAAGTCAAGGTCCTGCTCTGAAGTGTGGGCAACTAGAGGACCCCATCTATTTTCATTTACTATAAAGGAGGAAATAGGGGATTCAAGAATGCAAGTGATACACCAGAGATCAGGTGTTAGAACACTTCCCTAAATGTACATACCCCAGATAAATATTATTTATTTACTTTAATTACTGCCATATTATTCACCAGCTTGAAATCA